GCGCGGGGCCCCCTGCCAGTGCTCCCTGCCAGCCCCAGAGTGGTGGGAACTCGCCTTGAGCCAGTTGGAGCATGGCTTGTACAGGCAAACGGCCTTGCAACTGCACACGCAGCAGCCCGCCATGCTCCCACCATGATTACGGTCTTAGGAGTGAAGGGGAACTCATGTCTACCCGCCTGGGCTGTTGCTGTTTACTCTGTTTTGCTCTGTGAGGGCTGCCCTCCATGCAGGTTGGCTGAGGTATTTCAGTCCACAGCATCCCATGCCCCTTCACTTCCATCTGCGTTCAAACCTTTGCTTTCTGTGCTGTCCTCCACTGCTGAAAAACATGCATCTGGGTTTTTATTCCTGTTTTCCCAACCTTCTCTCCCCTGGCACGCTGCTGGACTGTGCCGTTTAGCATCACTGCCACCAGAAACTCTACTAATGTCCCACTGCCCCGGAGCAGTCCCATCTGCCCTCCCTGCATGGAGCTCTCTGCCTGTGCCTGGCAGTCCTGAGCTGCAAACCCCCCAGCAAGGCTGAATTCAGTCCCAGCCTCCTCCATACCTCTGGTGGAGCCCCTGGATAGGTATCGTCCACACCCACCACCGATGCTGCCTTTGCTCACACTCACACAGGCAGGCACTGGGCATTTGGTGAACCCCTCCTATCCCTCACTGCACCTGTCCAACCCAACACCCTCCATTCCTGTCGTCCTCTGAGGAAAACTTGCTGAGGGGGTACAGAAATGGAGAGGAAAGGGCTGATCTGCACTAGGGCTGCCGTGCCTTTCTCACCAGTCTCCAGGCTGAATGAGCAGGTTGAGAACTTGTACAGTTGGCAAAAGTTTGCCTGCAGCTGTGAGATCAGCAGTGGCAGGATGTATGTTTTCCTGTGCTTACATGCAGGACCCTCTTAGGCTGCAGGGAACTTGTAAATAAACCGCCCCCTAGTATATAAAGAGGGAATAAATCTGGGAAGTGTCCTTTGCATGTCTTATCACTTCTGTTTGAATTGTTATCTGCCTGTGCTTGTGGCCTCCTCTTCCTGCAGCATTCCTACACTGGTTTATGCGGTGAGATCAGAACATTTGCCCATGAGATAGGATTATATATGCCAGGAAAGAGAAAGTAGATCTCTGTGCTGAGAAGGTGGAGGGTCGAATTCCAGGTAGTTGAAAGGCTGTGCTGCATGTAACTGAGGGAGGCACAGAGCTCCTTTTCACTTCAGGATGCCAAGGGGAGGGCTTTTCCATCCCTCTGCTTATTGCTGTCTAGACCAGAGAGAGTTTTCACCAGCTGCAGCATCACATCATAACCTGGGAGATGTTTAGAAAAATCCTGCTTTTTTCTTGCAGTTACCTGTGTGTTCATGTATGTCTTGCCAGTGGGATCAAGGTATGCAGTCCTGGCTCTCTGGCTTGGACTTTTTGTTACAAGTCCAGCTGAAACGTTTAAGCAGGGCTGTCCACTGTGCTATGGACAAGCTGTGCCTCTGCTGCACAGTGGGGATTCAGCAGGATCCAGTGTCTGTGCTCCCACCCTCATACTAGGCCTGTGCCAGTTGGAGCCTGAAGCCTAATACTGAGCTGTGGGAACTGTTTTGGGAAAAATTGTCATTACGTAAATTCTCTTAGCTGTTTTCATGAGCCTCTCTCTTCTCATTTCTCTTTCTTTAGAATATCATGGCTGGTTGAGAGCACCAATCAGTTGTACTTCACATGTTGAAGCAGCAATTAAGTAGCTGATTGTTGCATGTAATCTTTTTCCCCTGGATTCTGCTGCATTTGAGTCCTCATCAGCTAGAAATTACTGAACATGACAGGTTCATGTTGATACTAGGATAGACCCCCAAGCAGAAGTAGTTGCCCCGTGTTGGAACCTGGGAATCAGTAATTTCCTATTTGAGATTCCAGAGAGAAAAATCCTGGACTAAGTTTGCAGAGAACAGCAGCTGCCTGTGCAGGATTGCTGTAGCAATGGGTCTGCTCTCATCTTTGTCCCTGTGTGTTCAAGTTTGGCATGGTGACAGTTCTCTTTGGGTAAGCTGCGGTTGGAGGGCAGGATGGGTGCAGCATGTACTGCTAAGTAAGGAAATCTGCAGAGTGGCTGTGGAAACAAATTCTGGAGCTGAGAGGGGAGCAGACTCTGCAGCCCCTGCAGGAACTTGCGCTTCCTGACATGAGGAGAGGCAGGGACCCACAGGTCACCAAATTTACAGTCATCAGGTGATGATACAGTCTCAGCACACACCCTGGGACTGTGTGAGCCACAGACCTACACAAAGCTGAGTGGTGACCTAGCACTTTAAAAGATGGAGGCCCCCAACCCTGTTTCCTTATGGCATGATAGTGCTGCCAACTGGGGGTAGAACAGCTGAGCAGGGAGAGCAAGGGACAAAGGAATCACAGGTGAACCCCAAAGGCCCATTTACTATTTGGTTTTGCATTGGAAGAGTTGCATTTTAAGTATTTTTGCAGAGTAGCCTGGAAGCCTAACATCTCCATGGGGTCTAGGGCTGTTTATAGGTGGGTCAGGAGTGGTGGCACCCCAGGCAGACAGCAAATATTTAACAGCACTTTTAACCACTGAGGCTGACTGCCCAGGGTCATCTGTCTGTTGCTTGTCTTGGTTGTGCAAGCAATAGCAGGGTAACCTAGATACAGGTGACACAAAATAAGACCTGTCAGCGTTTCCCCACACGCCTGGGAAGGGAGCAGGGAGGGAGGCAGAGATTTCTCAGGTCCTTCTGGCCTCCATTCCTGCAGGTCAGAGAAAAAATAATATTGTTCACACCTGTTTCCCAGCTCATGTGGTCAAGCAGCATGTGTGACAAAGCCAGCACAGAGAAAGCTGTGTGCTGGCTGCGGCGACGGCCGCCTCCCGAGCTGCAGGTTAGCCCTCAGCCCCAGCGGGCAGGGAACAATCCCAGTTGGACCTGCTGGTAACCCTGGTGCAACAGAAGAGGTTCAGCTGCAGGTGCTGGGTGCTGAGCCGGCAACAGGCACTGTTAACTGCTGTCCACTGCTCTGGCAGGGGGCACAGCACAGCCCCACCAAGCTCTCCCAGGTATGTAGCAGAGTTCGGGGGAGCAGAGTGCATGGGTCTGGCAGCAGCTTCTGGCCTGGCTGCACCAGGAGAGTATTTCATTTTTAGTGTACAGTGAGAGCTAGAGTGAATTTACAGTGTGGGATTAATGGAATTAAATAAGTAGAAGGGAGGCTGAGCCCTTAATTATTTATCTGCGGGCTGTGGCAAGCGCTGCAGCTGTGTTGGAGCTCCTCCTGTGGGCCACCTTCCCATGTTGCAGCCTGGGGATGTGGGGCAGGATCCTGCCCTCGGATGGGGGTACCCAAACTGGTGCAAACAAGTGTGCATGCATGCACCACAGCTTGCACTGTGGGGTGCAGCAAGCCAAACACTGCTGTCCCCTTTGTTGTTGTTAGCAAACATGGGACAGACTGACTCCAACCAGGGCTGGTTCCTGCTCCCTCGTAGCTGCTGGCATTTTTGGGCTAGATCCTGTACCCACCTTTCCAAGGGAAGTGTTTTTTTTTCCTTATGTCCAAACTGCAGCTTATGACCATTGCCCTTTATGCCCAGTCCCTTTAGCATGTCTCTCCAGTGGATGGCCCCAGGGAGCAAAGCAGGCTGGAGAATATGAGAACCTGGCACTGTGCTGCTGCTTGACGTGTTAATCCTTGACGATCTTTAGATTGTGCATGAGATGTTACTGTGTTCCTGCTTCCCAGTGCAGTGGAGAGGCTGCAGCCCCTTCCTGCCAGTTTTGTATTAAGAGAAACCCTGCTGGTCTGCCCAAACCCCACATTCACTTGCATTTCCCTTAAAGCCACTGAGCATCTCCCATGCCTGCAGCCCTGGCAAGGCAGCTTAGGCAGCACCAGGGAGCCACGTATTGCGGGTTTAATGGGCTCCTCAGGAGGCTGCCTGGCAGGCCCGCAGCACCCACCTTCCCGGAACAAGAGTAAGAAGGTTGAAGTGCTGCCAGCGATTGATTCAGGACCGCATTATGTCCTCATTTGAGACATGAAGCAGATTGACAGTGGTCAATGCCTGTACTAATGTGGCTAATTTCACAGGAGGCTGGGAAGCTCTTGCAGCCCAGGTGCCTTCCCCTCCTCATGCCCTTTTGCATCTGCCTGGGCTGCTGAGCAGCACAGGCCGTGGCCATCCAGCTCCTGTGCTGCACAGCCAGGGCCAGCAGAGCTGCTGTACTGCCCCAGAGGTCTGCCTGCCCAGGCTGCCCATGCCTGCCAGCAGTGGAGGCAGCTGCAGAATGCAGAGGGATTTTGGAGCTGCACTGAGGAAAGGGAGCAGCAAATCAGAGTTGGACTGTATCTGAGAGACAAACTGGCACCCAGAGATGTTTTCAAGGCATTTGTAAAGTGCTTTTGAGTCTGTCGAGGAAAGAGCCTTTTTCCAATCCCGTTTCAGTGGTCTGGCTCTGTCTTTATGTTGATGGCAGTAGCAGCAGGGATCCCTGAGCTGCTTCAGAGAGATTGCTCCTTGAGCTATGGAAGCTGGGAAGGAGGAGTTTTACTAATTGGGCTTTTTTTTAATTTGCACTTGCTGTCTTGCAACATCTCCCCTGTCACTTTAAAGCAAAGCAAAACTAAAAGTCATGGTGCTTTTAAGTTTGTTCCTGGTTCATTTTGTTCCAGCTTCCCAACCCTTCTGCTTTCTAGGAAAATGAGTCAAAAGTGTCACTCTGACCAAGCTTTGGGATAAAGCAATGATTCCCATGAACTCCAGAAAGGACCAAGAGCAGATTATCAGTGCCCGGACAGTTGATGAGAAAGGTGGGGAGATAAGACAGTGCTACGGTAGTCAGGAGCTGCAGAGCATTGTAATGAGATGGTACAAGACTTTCCAAGCATCACTACATGTAAAGGCTTCAACTGCTCTTCAAGCAGCCCATCATCTTCCCTTTTATTTACTCATTTGTTTGCCTTAAAGGGGGGAACAGGTGTACATTAATTCATCACCGGAGTTTAAATTAAATCATTTTACTTCTAAATGAGTCACTAATTTGCAGGAGTATTTAATTAGAGTCTCTTTGCACTCAGGTGCTGTATTACTTCTGACTTTCTCACCTGTTTGCCCTCTTAAGAGGCTGATGATGATTATACCATTTCTGCACATCCTCATTGCACATCAAAGCAATTAACCCTAATGGCAACACCTTGATGCTTCTCCTTGGTTCTGGGGGCTCTTGGCAGCCTTGTCTCCCCCAGGAAATAACCCTTTCCACGGCTGTGGCAGGACACAGACTTGCTGTGCAAAGCACACTACACCCCACAGCTTGGGCAGCCCTGCAGCCTTTTGGCAACAAGTTGCAGTGCAGACTGAGCACCAACAACTGCACTGAGCTCCCCCTGCCTCTGCTGCCAAGGGAGGACCTGCTCCAGCACCCACCTGTGTCTGGCACTGAGCAAGTGTTCAGAAGGTGCAAGCAGGGCTTGTGCTTTCTTGTGTTACTTCTCAGCAGCAAGAAGATGCTCACTCATACCTTCAGGGCTGGTCTCAGCTCCATCACCAGCTACCCAGCTCTCTTACTTTTTCATGTCTTTGGTAATTTCTATTACTCTTCTCCAATTCAGCCCCACCATTAGATGGGCAGCCCTCAGCCCTGCCACACAGCTGAGGAAGGAGAGCTGATTCAGTGAGCAGCATATCCTGAGAACAAAAATACAGGTGCCTGAATGAAGTATCCCAGAAAGCCGTGAGCTGTGCTGGGACATCTCTGTGCCTGGGCAGAGGAGTGTGCAGGGCCCATGGCATCCAGGCCAGTGGGATTCCAGCCAGAAGCAATGCTTGCAGTCTCCACTCCCACCATCCCTGCTGCAGTGCCTCTGAGCACTGCTGCTGCCTGCTTATTACGCTGATAACAGAAAATTACGGGTTTTCTGTAGGAAATGTCTATTTACATCCTACATCTTCAAAACTACCTATTAGCATCGCCGTGATGTCACATCCTCCTGTGTGTTTTCGTCAGCACTGGCTCTCTCTGCCTGCAGACAGCCTGCTGCTGTGGCAAGGCTGGCAGCATGGGCTGCACGTGGGGACAGGCAAGTGTCACCTGTCACAGCACTGGCCTGCATGTGCCCCCAAGGCTCGTGCAATGATGCAGGCAGTGCCTGTGCTCTGTACCTACTGTGCCTGCATCCACCAGCTGCATGGGAAGCGCCTGCTCAACAGCACTGGAGAGTAGGGGATGGCTGTGGGTGTCACCATATACACAGATGGTGGTTAATAGAGCTGAGCAAAGGGACTGCGAGGCACATCCAGATCAGCCCAGTCCAGGTCCTGTGCTTCCCAGCTCATCCATGTGCTCACAGCTGATCCAGAGCTGACAGATTCACTGGTGTTTTACTGCCTGAGAAACCCTCTGACGTGTCTCTCTGCCAAGCAGTGAGCATGGATGCCTGGTGCTTCCCCTGGCCTGCTTGCTCAATATTTTTGCCTGTGGGCTAACAAAGCCTTGAGGACCCTCAGCTGGAGAATGATTTTAAGAAGGCTTTGACTGTGTTGGTAATTTCAGGAAGAGGTGTTCATGGGATGACTGATTTCTGCTGTAGCTGCCTGTCCCGGGCTTGCCCAGAGATGCATCTGTAGAGCAAGCCCCTGCATGAGGCAGCTGTCTTATCTGGGTGCCTCACATATCTCTCAGAGAAAGAAGCCAAACCATTTCAGAGGGATGCTTAGTGCATGGTCCTTTATCACCTCATTTTGTGTGTGGACAAAGAAAATATGAAAGATTCTGGGAAGGGGCTTCCTGGCTGTGGAAGAGCCATGTACAAGGTGCACCAGCACATAGATCATGAGAGAAACATTGGGTGTGTGAGGCCAGGACTCAGGTGGGTCAGGATGTGTGCCTTTCAGGCAGTTGCATAGCGTGCAGGCCTTTGGCCAAGATTTATAACCATGTCTTGTCTCCAGGTTTTTATAGTTCCTTGTCACTCTATTAACTCAAATGAGAGATGTTTACATTGCATAAGTAGCTGGAGCAGTGGATAGTAACCTATCAATTTTCATTACTATTCCCTGGCAAAATTTCATAGCCTGTCTTGCAGGACACAAAGCTCGTGGGGCCCAAGATACCCAGGGCTTGCTATATTTCAGGAGACTGCAGTTCAACAGTTAATAAAACCGCTAGGTCAAGAACTGCGCAGTCAGGTCTCTGTAGAGTCCTGGCACAAAACCAAATTTCTGTTGATGGGCAGCTCCAGAGGAAAGGATGAGAGTGCAGCAG